ACATCTATGTACAGAGAACAAAGAAAGCCTAGAAAGGGGCTGGCAAGACCCCTTCTCACAAGAGAAAAGTGAGAAGCACCACCAGCTATTGTCTGAGGTGACCTATATAACCTAGGAGTTTTAGGAGGGGCTAAAAGGGGCTAGGAGGAAGAGACCCTGGTGTAGATGTGAGGGCCAGGGATTTCATCATGGCAGACTAGGATTTATGGCTGCTGTCTAAATAGTAGTAGAGAAGAGGCCCTGCAATTGCCCCGACCTGAAGGTCACTCTAAGGGGCTCCTGTTGCCTTCTATGGTGGTAGCTGCCCCAGAGAAGTGCCATCCCAAGGTAAAGGGGTTTGGAAGTTGATTACTGCATTTACTACATGGGCCTAGTGTTGCCTAGGAAGGGAGCATGCTAAACTGTGGGGAGGGGAAGGAGTGGACTAAGCTATGGGAAGGGAGCTCATTGGGCTAACACTAAGATTATAGTCATGAGCCACCAACACTCAGCCAAAACTCTGGTTTGTGTGTGTGAGACACTGAATGAAGTGCTTTTCACAAGTGGATCTCAAGGACCTGTGTAATTGCATGGAAATTGGGAAACTGAGGGCATCACATTTATCGTCCAGTGACATAGGATGGAGTGACTAGTTCATATTGTTGTGGATGAAACTCAAAAAAGTAAGATGAGCAAGAGAAATAAATGAGGCTTTTACTAAAGGAAGAAAGGAAGGAAAGAAGGAAAGAATGAAGGGAGGAAGGGAGGGAAGGATGAAGGCAGGAAGGAAGGCAAGAAGGAAGGAAGGAAGGAAGGAAGGAAGGAAGAAAAGAAGGAAGCAATGAAGGAAAACTTTTCCTTTTATGAAATGTGGTACAAAGTTATCATGGTGAGTGAAAATAGTTGCTAACACCTAATTGAAGACTTGCGATTGAGTACAGGAAACCAAAATACTTGTAGGTATCATTAATTGTGACTTGAAAGGGATAAAGTATCAAAAACAAGCACTGGAGGATCTTGAGTGTGGGCTGTAGTCTGGGTTTCTAGAAATGGCTCCTAGAATACCGTTGACCTGACTCATCAGGGTATCTAGCACCTTGGAGGCTATTGCTAGCGGCTGATTTCAAGAACCCACTGTTGAGACTGTTTCTTGCCATTAGGAAGCCATAGTGCCCACATGGACCCAGAAGGCGAGGGAACAGATACTAAACGGCTTCTTTCTACCTTGTTGGCCAGTTGGCAGCAAATGATTGAATGGCTGGGGAAGATGGTCTCCACTGGATTGCTTTCCAAATCTTAGGTGCATACATTTGTCTCTTGGTATCCATGAGGGATTGGCTCCAGGGCTCCTGTATATACCGAAATCCTTGGACTCATTTATATAGAATAGCTTAGTATGCATATAGCCTGCACACTCATACTTTAAGTTATGGCTAGTTTACTTATAAATCTAATACAATATAAACTCTATGTAAACTCTATATTGTTTAGGGAATAATGACAAGACACAATGTACATGTTCAGTACAGATGCAATTTTTCTGAATTATTTATGATCACAGTTGGGTGGATTTCAGATATGGAACCTGCTGATATGGAGGGCTGATTATACAATCTGATTGGCGAAACTCAATTTTCTTCTAGAATGCTCATTGGGAAGGTCTTTGGAGAATCTACCTAGTTGTTTTCAAGCCTTCAGTAAGAAGAAAGAGGCAGCCACGCCACACTGTACACCTAGGATCAAGGGATGGATTTACTACTACTGTGAGTGGAACATTATTTTCCTCATTATCATCCCTTGCTCAAAAGAGTAGCTGAATCTTGAAGCGACCAGGTAATTTGCTCAGACTTTCACTGAACTCTCCATCTGCCTATGGCAGAGACATGCTCTGTATTTCTTGGCTACTACCTCTGTTCCCCATCCCTTCCTTACCACCTGCCATCATACTGGGTAATCAGTCATGTTTCCCATGTCATCAAACGCCAAGCCTGTTCACAGGCTGCACAGATCCTCCTGCAGCCTTTCTCTTGTGCTTGCTTTTCCTGGGAAATGTAAGTCTCTTCTCTCTGGAGACAGAATTGCTCCACTCATCCCAGGAAAAGTCTTCAGTGGTCTTCTGCTATGACTCCATCCACTTTAATGTCTCTATTTCCATCAGAGATAGAGAAGACAAAGGCAGGACCTTGCTTTCTGAATTCTCTTACAACTTAGTTATATTTTTGGGGGGTGGCAGTGTTACTGGGACTTGAACTCAGGGTCTTGCTTGAACTCAGCTTACTTGCTCAGCTGGCATTCTATCATTTGAATCCATTCACCTCTTCAGGCTGGCTTTTTGATAGTTATTTTTTGAGATGGAATATTGTGGACTTTTCTGCCTTGGTTGGTTCTGAACCGTGACTTTCAGGATTTCAGCCTTTTGAGTAACCAGAATTGCAAGCATGAGTCAACAGTGCCCAGCTAATAACGGATTCTTCTACTCTCTTATTCTCTTTTTCTATTGCTCTTTGAAGCTTGGCTTTGGTGTGGAGGCTACTTTGCTTCAAATTGCTTACCAGACTTCTTTAATGAGGTTAAGAGACCTCATTAGTGAGGTCTGCCTCTTAAGAGACCTGTTATTTATTCTACTCCAAACATTTTAAATCACGCGTGAATGGAATGGTGAAGAGTGTGGTCCTTATTTGCTCATCTATATCTGCCACTGGAAAACATCTCAAGGTAAAGCACCTTTGTAATATGTGATGTTGCCTGTTCCCAGGTCCCTGCTTGCTTTCCTTACTCCACATCTGTGTTAATTCAGCAACTACCAAATGATAAGAAACCACTGTAACCGAGTCTTATAATTTATTCATTCGGAAATACTTGTAAATTCTTTTTTTTGGGGGGGGGGTCTGGTAGTGGGCTTGAACTCTGGGCCTGGGCACTGTCCCACAGCTCTTCAGCTCAAGGCTTGCGCTCTACCAGTTGAGCCACAGCGTCACTTCTGGCTTTTTTCTTTTTGCTTATGTGGTGCTGAGGAATCGAACCCAGGGCCTCATGCATGCAAGGCAAGCACTCTACCACTGAGCCACCTTCCCAGCCCTACTTGTAAATTCTTAACTCTGCTACTTGTAAATTCTTAACTGTACTACATGTGCTACATGCTCAGCAGAGTTTCCCTAAAATCCACACACTGAGATCCTAATCCTTGAGGTGATGGTACGGGAGGAAGGTTCCTTGGGAGGGGAGGAGGTCATGAGGGCAGACCTCAGAAACATTGATCACCCTCTCCACAAGTGAGGGCCAAGACAGAAGAGAAAAGATGGCCATCTGGCAAGCCCGCAACAGAAGTACCTGGATTTTAGACTTCTCAGTCTCCAAACTGATTAGAAATAAGACATCTGCTGTTTATAAGCCACTCAGTTTATGGTATGTCGTTATAGGTGCCCATATGGATTGAGAAAATTTCAATTTCCCTGAGTTTTTGTCTTATCTGTAGTAATTCTTTTTCTTCTATTTCTTTTGTATTTCTTTTCTTCTTCTTCTTTTTTTTTTTCTTGTCAGTCGTGGGGCTTGAACTCTGGGCCTGGGCGCTGTCCCTCAGCTCTTCAGCTCAAGGCGAGCACTTTACCACTTGAGCCACAGTGCCACTTCTGGCCTTTATCTGCTTATGTGGTGCTGGGGAATTGAACCCAGGGCCTCATGAATGCAAGGCAAGCACTCTACCACTGAGCCACCTTCCCAGCCACTTTTCTTCTTTTTTTTTTTTTTGAGATTATGTCTTAGTTTATTACTTTTAGCCTTTTCTTCCTTTCCTATTATATGCATGTGTGTGTGTGTGTGTGTGTGTGTGTGTGTGTACACGCACACGCGCTGGGGCTTGGACTCAGGGCCCATGCTCTTGCCTAACTTTCCACTCAAGGTGGATGCTTTACCACTTGAGTCACACCTCCATGTCTGACATTTTGCTACTTAATTGAAGATAAGGGTATCTGGGATTTGTCTGCTTGGGCTGGCTTCAAATTGTAATCTTCAGATTTTAGCCTCCTGAACAGCTAGGATTAAAGGCATGAGCCACCAGCACTTGGCCACCATTATATTTTATGTACACTATACAGATATAGTGAGTGTAAAGAACCTAAAGAATATAGGTAGAGGTAAAATGTAAACTGGGAAGTAAATATCATTAACTGTAGGATTATATATTTAAAGACTGTATTTTAAAACTAGCCAAAAAATTAGCATTGTAACAAGCATTGTAACAGCTCTTGTAACCAAATATGAAACAGTGCCAGTGGCCTCTAGTACATACCTGGGTAAGAGCAATGCCCTGAGTTACTCACCGGAGGTGAAAACTAAAAGGAAACGGAAGACCGGGGTGCTACCTTTTTACTGTCTCCATCACTTACAGCTAGGTTGTCGGATGATCAAAATAATTCGATATGTAATTGTATATTTTTTAACTACCACTATACTCAGAACAGTGTTTCAGATGTTTCTGGAATACCACTTCAAAATCCAAGGCTTCGCAGGTACAGAGTTTACATTCACTGACATGTGAATGTGTGTGTGTGTGAACAAATGCCAGTCATGTCAGGTAATGGCTGAGAATTCTGTAGAGCAAAGGAGGAAAGGAATGAGACACTATCATCACCTCGTAGAGTTGCCAGGCTGAAATGGATGAAGGTGATAATGAAGAGCGGGTTCTGGAATCTGAATCAGGAAATTTTCTTTCTTGAGAAGCCCAGGCAAATGGCACCTTAATCTTCTTTCCCCTAGTACCAACGTAACAAATCCCTTCTGGAAGTTCCAGGCCCATCCCAAGCAGCTAGGCGGGGCTAACTTCTCTAAGGCCTTCCCCTCCCTCCCAAGGGCCAGCCCGAGGCGCGGACGCTTTCGCGCAGGCTCCAAAGTTCCAGCGGCTTCCCAGGGGGCGCCTGTTCAGTGTTCTGCGCATGTGCACAGGAAAGCCGCGATTGTGTATGATTTTTGGCCCTCGGGTCCTGCCGTACCTCCCGGGCGACAAGTGGCCTGCTGCTTCCGCCTGTCCGGTGTGAGGTGTGAGGGGAGGGTCTCCGGTCCTCCCGCCCGGGGCGCCGGGCGCCGCCGCCGTCATGAACCGGGACAGCTTCGCGGCGGGCGAGCGGCTGGTGTCGCCCGCGTACGTGCGGCAGGGCTGCGAGGCCCGCCGCTCGCACGAGCACCTGGTCCGGCTGCTCCTGGAGAAGGTACCCCGGAGGAGTGCGCTCCGGGAAGGGTGCGGGTGCGGTGGGGCGCCCCCTCGCCTCGCTCCCCGGGGCGCTCGGGAAGGAAAGTTCCAGCTGGATCTCCAGCTAGTTTCCAGAAAGAGCTGCTCCCAGGTCAGGGGTCACAGGGTCAGGGGTCAGTGCGGCCCGCAGCCCTCTGACCCCGGTGGGGGGGGCGGGGGGAGCACCCCCAGGCCTGCTGGCGCCCCTGCGTCTTCCTTGCTCTGGAGCTTGGCAGCCTCGGGTTAGGACACCGGGGTTGAGGTCTTCGTGGAGGGGACCCCGGGGCTTGAGCCCGGGAGAGCCGTCCTCGTCCAGGTAGGCTAACCACTGGTCAGAGCCAGGCCCTGACACTTGGCGCTTCCTCCAAGGGCTCAACTTGGGTCTGAGCCTGCTTGTTGAGCAGAGTTGTAAAGTAACATTGGTGCAAGATTTGAGGAGCCTGTTTTTCTTGAGTATACGGCCTTCCACCTCCTCTATTTCCTCCTTGCCTGCCTCCCTGCCTCTATCCCTCCCTCCCTGCCTCCATCCCTTCCTCCCTGCCTACCTCCCTCCCGGGCCTGCCTGCCTGCCTGCCTGCCACCCTCCTTTCCTCCCCTCCTCCCTCCTTCCACCTCTCTCCTCTTTTCTTTTTAGGGCAAATGTCCAGAGGATGGTTGGGATGAAAGTACACTTGAACTCTTTTTGCATGAACTTGCTATCATGGACAGCAACAATTTCTTGGGCAATTGTGGTGTGGGAGAACGAGAAGGGAGAGTGGCATCTGGATTAGTTGCTCGTCGTCATTACAGGTATGTTATTTTTTAAAAAGAAGTAAATTTGAAAACATTTACTTTTGAGTCTTTGCGGGGTGGGGGAGAGGGGTGGTGGAGGTATCCATCTCACTAAATTATAAAGTTGTCCATGGACCAGCCCCTTCTTCCCTATTCAAATGGATGTGGAAATACAGTTTCCACAGGAAGATGGAAACAATTTCTCTGGACAACTTCTTCTCCAGACAGTAGACCTCCAGATTTGGTATGTTATTGTTACCCTTTGTAGATGGCCATCAGCACAGGTTCCAAATTCTTTTAACCTAATGAACTTTTTTTCTTTTTTGGGGGGGGGGGGTCCAGTCGTGGGGCCTGAACTCTGGGCCTGGGCACCATCCCTAAGCTCTTCAGCTCAAGGCTAGCACTCTACCACTTGAGCCACAGCGCCACTTCCGACTTTTTTCTTTTTTTGCTTATGTGGTGCTGAGGAATCGAACCCAGGGCCTCAGGCATGCAAGGCAAGTGCTCTACCACTGAACCACCTTCCCAGCCCCTTTTTTATCTTATAAGAACTTGACATATGCTGGAGAAGCGGGTCTAGCCAGGCAAGGAAGCCAAGCAAGCACAAGGCCCTGAGTTCAAATCCCAGTAGTGAAAACAAGTTGAATGGTAACCCCTTTGTACAGTTACTTAAAGAAAAATATATTTTTTAAAAGAGTTTGATATACATTAAAGTTGTTTACAGGTTTCCATATTTCTTTTTTAACATCACAGTTTTGTTTATAGTTAGAACTTTAAAAACATTGCTCAATCAGTATGTGAGTTGAGTCCCATTTGATAAGAATCTCTTTTTTTTGCAATATTATTATTATAATTTTGAGAGACATGAGGCTTGAACTCTGGGCCTGGGCGTTGTCCCTCAGCTCCTCAGCTTAAGGCAAGCACTCTACCACTTGAGCCCATTTTTTTAGTGGTTAATTGGAAATAAGAGTGTCATGGACTTTCCTGCCCAGGCTGGCTTTGAACTGCAATCCTCATATCTCAGCCTCTTGAGTAGCTAGGATTATAGGTGTGAGCCACTGGTGCCTGGCTGCAATATTAAATTTTCAAGTCACTTTTTCCTTATTTCAAAAAGTTTTCTATAAATTCTGTTAAACATTTAATTACTATTTTTGATTGTGAATCTGATCATTTATTTCTATGTCTTCTAGCCTTTCTTTGAGATGTGTGGAAACTCAAAAACTCGTATCTTCCATGATTTTAAATCATAACAGACTTTTATTTTAATCAAAACTGTTAAAGTGAAAATAACACTGAAGTGAAAACCAACTATAAAGACTCTCTAACAATGGGCTGTAACATAGCTGATAATAATGCTTTGTACATGTGAGTTTTGATGGTAATGAGGTATATCAGCAGTGTTCTGTGATACTCTCATACACAATTTCTGATCTATTTGGCTATAAATTATAAATTATTTCAGGTAGCAAGGATTTTTTTTTATGTTAAGTATTCTAAAATACCTTTTTTTTTGTTTGTTTGCTGTATTGCAGTTGGAACTCAGGGCCTTACACTTGTTTGGCTTGCTCACGTATCTGGTACTGTACTATTTGAGGCACACTTCCAACCTGGTTATTTCTGGTTATTTTGGAGATAGAGTCTCAATGGACTTTTCAGCCTGACCTGGCCTCTTAAACTATGATCCTGCAGATCTCATACTTCTGAGGAGCAAGGGTTATAGGTGTGAGCTACTGGTACCCATCTTAAAAGTATCATTAGGTATTGTGTAATACCACCTAATTTAGAGTGCGTGGATTTGTATGGTATTCTTCAGGAAGCATCTAACCTTTAAGATTAGGACAAATTTTGAAACATCAGTTATATCATTGAAACTGAATCTACTGATAATATGGTTAGGGGCAAAGGAAAGAAAAGGAATCTAATGTTGCCTATATTCTGGTTTTCGATTCTTGCATAACAGTTTAATGGCTTAAAATGTTAGTATTTCTTACATTTCTCTGTGCTAACCGGGCGTAGAGGGGTGAGTGTTGTTTTGGGTCTCTGGTGCAGTTGTCAGATGTTGGCTGAGAGTTTAGTCACTTTAGGGTTCAAGGGATCCCCTCATATGTCTGGGTGCTTAGATGCCTTCTTCTGTGAGTTAGTCTCTTCCTAACATGGCATATAATGGAGCAATCCCCAAGAACAAGTGCTTTGTGAAGCCCAAAGCTCTCGGGGCTTCTGACTTAGCCTACTGGTTCCAGATAGTCACTCCTGTAAGCTCTTCCTGGTCACGCAAGTAACTATGGCCAACCCAGATGGAGTGAGACCATGTCTCTTGGTATGGGTCTAGGGAGAAAAGGAATTAATGTTATTAATGTTGGACATCTTTAGAGACTAGGTACTGTAACACAGTTGATGAAGTTATTTCAATTTAAATAAATTTTTCCACATATTAGTTCTTGAAATATAACCAAATATTGGCTCTGGTATTTGTTTTTGGCAGTACTGAGATTTTGAACTTAGGGCCTTCCAGTTAGTTAATTAGCATTCTTCCATTCAGGCCATACATCCAGCCCTTTTTGTTTATTTATTTATTTTTTTTGGGTCCAGTTGTGGGGCCTGAATTCTGGGCCTGTGCACTGTCCCTCAGCTCTTCAGCTCAAGGCTAGCACTCTACTACTTGAGCCACAGCGCCACTTCCGGCTTTTTTCTTTTTGCTTATGTGGTGCTGAGGAATTGAACCCAGGGCCTCATGCATGCAAGGCAAGCGCTCTACCACTGAGCCACCTTCCCAGCCCACATCCAGCCCTTTTTGCTTTTAGTTCTTTTTCAGATAGGGTATCACTCTTTTTGCCTAGTCTGATCTTGGTCCATGATCCTCCTACCTGTACCTCTGCATATCTGGAATTATTGACATGAACCCTTGCCTGGCTAGTTTGTTGAGATAGGGTCTTGCAAACTTTCTTACCCAAATTGGCCCCAAACTGTGGTCCTTCTCCCTTTGCCTCTTAGGTAGCTGGAATTGCAGATATGAGTCACCATGCCTGCCTTGTTTTTTGGCTTATTGTGCTTATATATTTATATATTGGCTTACTTAGAATATTGAATGCATTTGTCTAACTTTTGGCCTATTTTTTTTATTTAGGTTCATTCATGGAATTGGACGATCTGGTGATATTTCCGCTGTGCAACCAAAAGCTGCAGGTTCTAGTCTTTTGAACAAAATTACCAATTCTTTGGTCTTGGATATCATAAAGTTGGCTGGTATATACCATCTTAATCATATTACATTTGGTAGCTAGACAACACGCTTTGCCTATTTATTTTTAATTAATGCCTTTTCCCAAGAAAGAATATTTGTGACCTTTGCAAGGTCACACATATAGAAATTGCTTAAGGGTAAGAAAGTCAGAATCATAATCCCAGAGGATGAGCTTCCAGAGAGCAAATACAGAAAAAACATTACTGTTACTATTTGACAAAAGAGATGCATCATTTCTTCAAGAGCCTGTGGCACTGGTTTATACCTGTAATCCTAGCTACTCAGAAGGCTGAGATCTGAGGGCCAGTTGTTTTTGTTGTTGGTTGTGGGGCTTGAACTCTGGACCTGGGCGCTGTCCCTCAGCTCTTCAGCTCAAGGCTAGTGCTCTACCACTTGAACCACAGCACCACTTCTGGCTTTTTCTGCTTATGTGGTGCTGAGGAATCCAACCCAGGGCCTCATGCATACAAGGTAAGCTGTCTACCACTGAGCCACCTTCCCAGCCCTTGAGGATCAGTTTTTAAGTCAGTCTGGATAAGAAAGTCTATGAGACTTCTTTATCTCCAATTAGTCATCAAAAAAGCTGGAAGTGGCAGTGTGGCTCAAGAGGTAGCTAAAGCACCATTCTTGTGAAAAAAAAAAAAAAAAAAACGCTGAGGAAAAGTACCCAGGCACTAGGCTCAAGCAAGCCCCCAAAACAAACAAAAACAAAATACAAAAAAGATGGATACTGGTTCTTTGGTGGGATACCTAATTCTGTTTTACTTCTTTTATTTACAGGTGTTCATACAGTGGCCAATTGCTTTGTAGTTCCTATGGCAACTGGTATGAGTCTAACACTGTGTTTCTTAACATTGCGACACAAAAGACCAAAGGCAAAGTACATCATTTGGCCACGGATAGACCAGAAATCTTGTTTTAAATCCATGATCACTGCAGGTAAAGGAAGAGAAGTGGTACATGTAATATTTGGTATGCCTCTGTGGGAAAGCTCACATTCTTTATGGAAAGATGGGTGTGTGAGTGAGTGAGTAGCTGATCTAGATCTCTTCCATATGCCCTTTCATAGAAGTTGTGCTAAACTATTCATGACAAAATTTAGAGTATATTTTGCCTTATATAACTTTTAAATTTATGGATACCTGGATACTTTACCATTAAAAGTTTACATAATTATTATTTATGGGGGACTTTTAATTATATGCTAGTCAAGGTGCTACTGCAACTGAATATTTAAGAAACTTTTTATATTTATATGCATTTAAATTATAGAAGGCTTTGTGAGCCTCATCCTCTGGCTACTGAAATTACAGTTTTCATTAAGGTATTCATACTGGATTATATTATTTTTATGTCCACCTTTGAAATAAAGTGAACTCTAAAGTAAAGTTGAAATATTGTCAGAGAATGAACAGATTTACTTTTCTGGGACAAAATGAATGGAACTACTGATTTTTCTGATACTGATGTCTATGTTTTTATGTCTGTAGACATCCATTTAACATTTGTTTTTCTTACTTTCCAGAACTTGTATTTTTTGTCATCTTATTGCATTAGAAAAGTTTTGTAGTCTTAATTATCTAGTGGTTTTTCACATTATTTTGACTGGCTTTTGACTAATGTCGGTATGTAGCCAGGTTTTTATTAGTGGTCAAAACAAATAGAGTTCTGTGTGGACTAATACTGTTTGCTAGAGCTCTAGGAGCTTCCTGTACTCCAGTTCATACTAACATGTAGATTTCTGGTTGGCTTGCTTAGGTTTTGAGCCTGTGGTAATAGAAAATCTTTTGGAAGGTGATGAGCTACGCACCGACCTGAAAGCGGTAGAGGCTAAAGTCCAGGAACTGGGGCCTGATTACATTTTGTGTATTCATTCCACTACATCCTGTTTTGCTCCCAGGGTGCCTGATAGGTAAATGATTTATGAATATTGACCTTTTGATCTTCTTCAGTTTTTAAAATAAAATGCTGCATAATAATTCTCAACTTTGCTTAACTAGCTTCAATAGTAAATAGTGAACTGACTGTCCTAAGAAAATATGTTGACTTTGGCAAGAAATATCTGATATAGAAGGTAAAACTAGTATGGGAGATGGAGAACTCTCTCCAGTAGATGCAGTCTGTCGGTCTGCTTGCTCTTGAGCCTGTCTCTAGTCTCTTAGCATCTCTTGTTGTTTAATAGAAGTTTCTTTTCAAGCCATATCCTGGATTTGGTGGGGTTTTTTTCCTTTTCTATTTCCACTGCTTTGATCTTAAAATCTTCATATTTAGGAATTATCAGTATTAACAGATTCTAAATGGAAAATTTTAGGATTAACTTGGAAGATTAACTTATGTGTAGTAGGTGTATACAGTGGTTTTCTGCATTTTTTAATCATATAAATATTTAAGAAAATAAAAGCAAGAGCAGGGAAAAAAATTTACTTTTCTAAGTAAATTTTTCTAAATAAATTGTAGTCACACATTTTTCTTCCTAAAAGACTCTATTAATTAAGTCTATTAATACAGGTTTCTGTTTCTGACAGTAGCTCTGTTTTTGTTTTACTTTTAACATCTTGAATAGAAGTGCAAATAATTTGTAAGACACCGATTTTGGGCTTTTCTTATTACATCAAAGTGTGCTTTGGTTCTCAATGAATTTTATTATTTGGTAGAAATGAAGGCATGTGGGCTGGGAAGGTGGCTCAGTGGTAGAGTGCTTGCCTTGCATGCATGAGGCCCTGGCTTCGATTCCTCAGTACCACATAAGCAGAAAAAGCCGGAAGTGGCACTGTGGCTCAAGTGGTAGAGCTTGAGCTGAAGAGCTGAGAGATAGCACCCAGGCCCAGAGTTCAGACCCCACGACCGACCAAAAAAAGAAATGAATGCATGTTAGTTTTTATTATCTGATAGGCAGATTTTAAGAGAGAATTTAAAAGCCATCTCTTGAAAACTTACCTTGCTATATTCATGAACCTGTGAACTCTGTTTTAAGATCATGTCACGTATGCTTGAGTGATTTATTCATTACTTACCAGTCTTTTTAAATTTACGTTGAAATTTTTTTTGTTTTTTTGGTTGTGGGGTTTGAACCCTAAGCCTGGGCACTGTCCCTCACCTCTTCAGCTTAAGGCTAGTGCTCTACCATTTGAACCACCCTGCTACTTCTAGCCTTTTCTGTTTATATGGTGCTGAAGGATCGAACCCAGGGCCTCATGCATGCGAGGCAAGCACTGAGCCACCTTTCCAGCCCCTCACATTGGAATATTAAATAAACATCTTTTGTCTTTGGAGATTTTAATGTGATAGAAATAAATCACATTATCAAAAATGGTGATGCACAGTTAAGAGTTAGCAGGATGTTTGAATTTCTGATTTTATTGAATTTTAAAACTATGCTTTTATTTCTTTACATTAAGTGAAACTCCTTTGTAGTCTTAATTTTAATGAGTATAATATGTATTTTGTCTTTATTATTTGAATGGGGAGTAAAGGAAATCTACTTGAAAGAAATGCTCAATGTAGGGTGGTATTTCTTCCCAGTGATAAACACCTAAAATTAGCTTCTAATGAAGTGTGGTGTGATTCTCTTGAAATTCCTTCCATTTTATGCCTTTTACACCTTCTAATTATTAGCACTTCAGATTAGCACAGATGATTTGAAAGTATATGTGATATTTTTTCCTTTTTAAAACAGAACCTTCATATTATTATGGTGCCTTATTTCAAGGAAGTTCTTTGCTAAGGAATGTTTTTACTAGATCACATATATTGAGGAAATCTTTTATCCTATGAAGAAAGTACATGTATGTTTTCCGTCATCTGATAGAAAGGCATCATCTGATTCAGTAGCAAAAGGAATTCCATAATAATTTGTGAGGTTTATGAAAATAAAATGAGTATTTAATTCATACACTTTCACCAGAAGAAAATTGAAAACTCCGATGAATATAATAATCTTATTCCTATTTGTAGTTTTAAAACATTAGTTTACGTCTGCTAAAATGTAATATGACTTGGTTATAAGACCATCATGTACATTTAAAATATATTATTTTGAAAGAACTTATATTAAAATGCTGTACTTCCAATTTCTTTTATTTTGTGAAAGAAAAGTTTTTTTTTTTTTGGTACTGAACTGAGGTTTGAACTCAGGCCCTTGCACTTGTTTAGTTGGTGTTTTATCACTTGAGCCACTCCTCCAGCCCTTACTTTTGCTAGTTAATTGGAGATGGGGACTTGCTGAAGGCTGGCCTTGAACTGACATCCTCCAGATCTCTACCTCTTGAGTAACTAGGATTATATGCATGAATCATATGAGGTTACTTAAGATTTCTGCATGTTTTTAATTATTGTGCAGCTACTAGCTACAATATGGTAAATAACCAAAAGCATTAGAGAGCATGCTGCTTTATGAAAGGTCCTTTTACATCATCTTCTTGGGCTGGAGATGTGGCTCAAATGAGTAGTTGTCTAGCAAGTACAGGGCCCTAAGTTCCACCTCCAATATTGCCCTCCCACCAATCTTGCTTTGCATGTAAGAAAGGTACTTTTTTTTATTGTGAAAATACCGTACAGAGGGGTTACAATTACATGAGGAAGGTAAAGAAAGGTACATTTTTTTTGTGTGTGTGTATGTCTGGTCATGGGGCCTGAACTCTGGGCCTGGGCGCTGTCCCTCAGTTCTTCAGCCTAAGGCCAGCACTCTACCACTTGAGCCACAGTGCCACTTCCGGCTTTTTTTTTTCTGCTTATGTGGTGCTGAGGAATCGAACCCAGGGCCTCAAGCATGCAAGGCAAGCACTCTACCACTGAGCCACTCCCCCCCCTCCCCCTGGCCCCAAGAAAGGTACATTTTTATAAATATACTTTTCCTCATTTATCTGTACTATTAATGTAAGCAGTGTTTATGGTTGTCTTAAAGTGATTGTTGCACCTCTCCAAGCTGCTGAGGTATGCTGAGTTACTACAGAAAAAATTTCAGTTCATTATTTTCTTCCCTTTGGAATACATTAAGATTGACTATTAAATTAAAAAAAGAGTCTCCACATAATTTATAAAACACAGTGTGAGTATGTCTTTCTATTGAATATTTATGTTTATAGATTAGAAGAACTGGCTGTGATTTGTGCTAATTATGGCATTCCACATATAGTCAACAATGCTTATGGAGTGCAGTCTTCCAAGTGCATGCATCTCATTCAGCAGGTAAGACAGTCTAAAGCTGTGTCAGAAAGTGGAGATTTTACCATAGTTCAGGATTGTTATTTTCTCACAAACTAATCTAGTTAAGGCAGTTTTCTTAGCATTATCTTTTAAGGGAGCATTAAAAACTTGTATTATTTTCTAAGTAAGTCATTATTCCTTGGTAGTGTGGTGGTAATTAGACAATGACTTTGGCAGCCCATAATCAACATAGAAATATTACATTTATGTTTTTAATTTTCTAATACATTGAATTATAGGATCATTATATTCTGTATTTAAGCAATCATTTTACCTTATTATCCTAGACTGAAAAGTACCTAGTTTGTCAACATTCTAGCATATAGCTATGGAGTAGGTGGCTCTTCTGTGTTTTTAATATTATTAGCAGCTAGACATAGACATCCGTTTTAGTTTTAACTTTGAAAGTATGCCCACATTTACCAACCCAATCAGAATGACAGAGCTGTGGCTTTGTGTGCAGGCCTCTGCGGCTTGCCTGCCCACTCAGCTGCCCTGCTCTAGCTGCCCTTCACCATGTTTCCTGTGCATACCTGCTCAGCCTGTCTGTCCCTCACTACCTGGATTGCTCTTTGAGTGTATACTTGGCTTCTTATCTTGTTTGCTTTAAGTCACCTAGACTTTCGCGGACCCCTTATCTAAAAATCACACTCCTCTCTTTTTTCATGGTACTGTAGTTTGAACTTAGACTTGCTAATCAGTTGTTCTAGCACTTGAACCACACCTCCGGGGACTGTACTTTCCTCCTACTTGCTTGCATTTTCTTTCCTCGTTTCCTGTTTTACCATGTTCATTAGTTTTAAGACAGAGTCTTCTACATTATGAAGTCTTAAATTGAAATGATTATGATCAGCAATGTTTTACAGTCTTTTTTTTGGGGGGGGGGTCTGGTCATTGGGCTTGAACTCTGGGGCTGGGTGCTGTCCCTCAGCTCTTCAGCTCAAGGCTAGTGCTCACAGCGCCACTTCCAGCTTTTTTCTTTTTGCTTATGTGGTGCTGGGGAATCGAACCCAGGGCCTCATGCATGCAAGGCAAGCACTCTACCACTGAGCCACCATCCCAGCCCCAATGTTTTACAGTCTTAATAGCAATAGTTACTATTATTCTTTCTAACCTAGTAATAGGTTAAATGATGATACCACTGGTTTTTCTCCTTTTGGCAACACTGACATTTGAACTCAGGGTCTTGTACTTGCTAGGCAAGTGCTCTCTCTACTCCTGGCTTTCAGATAAGGACTTTTTAGCCTTTGGGGCTAGAAACCAGCTCATACACCATAATCACCCTACCTTTACCTCCAGTAGGCTTGGTATTATAGGTGTGAACAACTACATACAGCTTGTTTTTTTTGTTTGTTTGTTTGTTTTTATTTTTTTGAGGGGGGCTCGGTCGTGAGCCTGAACTCTGGGCCTGGTTACTGTCCCTCAGCTCTTCAGCTCAAGGCTAGCGCTCTACCACTTGAGCCACAGCTCCACTTCTGGCTTTTTTTTTTCCTGCTTATGTGGTGATGAGGAATCGAACCCAGAGCCTCATGCATGCAAGGCAAGCGCTCTACCACTGAGCCACCTTCCAAGCCCGGGTCCCTGAGCTTTTTAGCTAAAGGCTAGGGCTCTACAACTTGAGCCACAGTTCTACTTCCTGTTCCCATCTATATATGAAGAATCAAACTCAGTGGGGTCAAGTGACTTGCCTGGGAACCATAACTACCCAAGAGGCCATCTAGTTCAGTGTAACTCCAGAATCTGTATCTCTCATTTATGAACAAAGTACTAAAACTGCAAGTCTTTTTTCTTGAGGTAAAAGTGTTGCAATAACCAGTTAGTCAGTGTAGAAAGAACTGTAACTAAAACATTTTTTTGTGTGTGCCAGTCCTAGGACCCAAGTGCTGTTCCTGATGATTTTTTTTTTCAAGGCTAGCACTCTTATCACTTGAGCCATAGCTCCACTTCCAACTTTTTGGTGGTTAATTGGAGATAAGAATCTCAAGGACATTTCTGCCTGGGCTGGCTTCCAACCACAATCCTCAGATCTCTGCCTCTTGAGTAACTAGGATTACAGGCATGAGCCATAGGTGCCCAGTTAAGAATTTTTGCAGTTTTTTAGAGGATGTCCCAGCTGACTGAATCTGAGTAGATAGGGTATTCTGGTATGTATATTCAGACTGGAAAAGTTGACTTCTGACTAATTTTGGAGATTCAGAGGATGTTGAGACAGATTAATAGAGAGAGACATGGTAGTATTATTAAAAAACAAACAAAAAAAACCCACCTGTGTATTTTTATACGAAACTTCAAAAGTGTGGGTAGCAGCAACTTTACTTTTGAAGACTTTGAGCAAGATAGACATTACTATTTACAGACCTGACTGTGAGTTTGTTTTACAAGTAGTTACTGGATTCTCACTGTGTACAGGCACTCAGGCATGAGCTGGGGACACAGCTGTGAATCCATCCAGGAGTACTGTAGCTTTGGAAGCACATGGTCAATACTAAGTATGGCAGGCCTGGCTCAGTTCTCTTGTGTTTGAGGGAGAGGGAAAGATAACCAGATTACATGGAGTAGTGATCAATCTGCCAGAGTCCTGAATGAAGTGAAAAAGTGAGAGAAACCAACTCCAGGGTAAACACGTGTCCAGACACCAGGACAGGAGTATGCTCTAGCGTGTGAGAACTAGTAAGAGGCCTGTGTGGCTGGGCTGTGAGAAACGAGGGAACTGTGGTGGTGGAAATTTGAGGTGTGATAGGATTTGGGATTTTATTTGATGCTGCACGCGTGGCTGTTGTCACAGTCCATATGAGGTATGTTGGCTTTCTGGGGCCAGAGCAACAGCTGTGGAGGTTGTAAGAAATACTGAGTTTGGGGTGGGGGGGGGGGGGAGCGGGAGGATTGGGTGGGGGTAGGGGGAGGATGGGAAGAGATGGGAAGGGGAAACAAAGGAGGAGGCTACAATGCTTGATAAGAAATGTACTCATTATCTTGCCCATGTAATTGTAACCCTTCTGTACAGCATTTTCACAATAAAAAAAAATAAAAATAAAAGAAATGTACTTGTTATCTTGCCCATGTAATTGTAACTCCTCTGTACGGTATTCTCACAATAAAAAAAAATTTAAAAAAAAGAAATACTGAGATCATATACTTTCTGAGAGCTTAGGTTTTGTTTTTGTTTTTTTATTAAGATTGTGCTGTAGGGTATGAGAATTCAGGGACAATAAAGGTTTTGGCCTGAATAGATAGAAATAGAGGAAGTGCCAGAGGAGTAATACTTTTTATCTTTTAAGCATGGCTTCTGGGCTGGGATGTAGCTCAGTGGCAAAGCGCTTGCCTAGCAAGTGCAACGTCCTGGGTTCGATCCCCAGTACCAAAAAAGAAAAGACAAAAAAATACAGTTAAAAAAAACCCAAACAGCATGGCTTCTTCATCTAGATTGTAGTCCCTGCTGTGTTATGGATTGCTTGGTTAACTTCAGTCAGGCCCTTTAATTGCCTGGGTTTTAATCTTAGCTGATCTTGGGCATGTCACTTTAATTTCATTGTGTCTAATTTGTCATCTGTAAAACAGGTGTTGTAGTGGCATCTACCTCATGTAGTTACTGTGACTGTTAAATGTAAAATGTTTAGAACAGTGCCTGACACACAATAAGCAGTACATTCCCGCAGTGTGTGTGTGTGTGTGTGTGTGTGTGTGTGTGTGTGTGTGTGTTACTAGGGAGCAAATCCAGAACCTCTTGCGTGCTAGCCAAATGTTTACCACTGAGCTACATCACTGGCCCTTAATTTTTATTTTGAAACAAAGTCTTACTATGTCCAGTCTGGCTTCAAATTTGTTATCTTCCTGCCTCAGCCTCCCAGGTTGCTAGGATTGCAGGCATGTACCAGGCACAGGTTCCTGGAAATAATAATTATATGGACATTTATGTGCTTTGTTCACTGCTGCTATCTCTACAACCTAGGACACAGTGTGGTGGTGTGTGGTAAGTGCTCACATGTGTGCTCTGCGAGTAAAATGGCAACTCTACCTCATATGAAGACAATGGCCTGTTTCCTATTCCACCTCAGTTCCTCCTATTCTTTCTTCCTCCTTAGTGGTAACCTTTGTTAATGTACACAAGAGATTCTGGCCTGCTTGTTCCTTGCCAGAGTGTGCTGCTTTTTGTGGTTTTTTGGTTGTTTTTTTGTTTTTGTTTTTTTTTTTTTTGGGGGGGGGGGCGGTCCGGTCATGGTGCCTGAACTCTGGGCTTGGGCGCTGTCCCTCTTCAGCTCAAGGCTAGTGCTTTACCACTTGAGTCACAGCGCCACTTCCGGCTTTTTTCTTTTTTGTTTATGTGGTGCTGAGGAATTGAACCTAGGGCCTCAAGCATGCAAGGCAAGCGCTCTACCACTGAGCCACCTTCCCGGCTGCTTTTTGTGTCCAGTTTTAGTTATTAAAGGGTCCTATCACAGTCTGTTGTACTTAAAGTTCATGTTTTTAGTTTATGTTTCTCTCGGGAAGCTTTTTATAGTAAAGGCAACCCCAGATGCTACTAATTTTCATTGCTTCTACTTGGTACATTTTTTTTTTTTAGTTACTTACCTAGTCTATTAGTCACCTATGCTTCTTTCTGTTTTCCTGAGATAGGGTGGAATTTTCTGATAGTAGTTTATTAGGAAGTAAGAGTAGCAAAGGTAAGTTAAGCTTTAAATAGCCACGTGATAGCCTCTGTGTAGTCTTCTCTCCTTCCCTGCTTTTGCTGCTGCTCTACTTGTTGCCTGGATCTGGTCTCTCAGATTAGGCCAGCTCTCTGCACCTTCCATTCCCCCTGAGGTAGAAAGAGAATGTGAAAATGAAGGTCAAATGTGGTTATAATATTAATAGGAATGTAGATTGTGAATACAGATTGAAAATCTGTGGCTATAGATAAAGCAAAAACCTATCTTAGTTGAAATTTAGATAGTATCTCTATTTTTAAGAGGAGAAAATTGAAGCACATTAGATAGAAGGTCATAGACTACATTGGCTGGAGACCAGAATTTAGTTTTACATTTCCAGTAGGTAAGTGTTCAGGATTTTTTTGCCAGAATATAAGATCTTCATTTGAAGTTCATTTGCAGTGGAATGAGATCATCGAAGATAGTTGCATTAAGGAGTATGAGTTATGTTGAAACATTGCTTTGGAATTGCCAAGAGTACACAAATAAAACTTCCATTAGTTGATGTTAAAAATAAGATTTTGCTTTTGTTATCTGAGCAGTGGTGGGAGGGCTTGTTCACAGTGTCATATATGCAGTCATGGGAGAGCTTGTTCACAGTGTCATGTGTGTAGTGGTGGGAGGGCTTGTTCACAGTGTCATATATGTAGTGGTGGGAGAGCTTGTTCACGGTGTCATATATGTAGTAGGTTGAGGGTCTGGGAGTCGCTCAAGGTAGAGTCTCTGCCTAACATGCAGGAGACCTTAGGATCTGCCACCAGCCCTGCAAAAATAAAACTGAAAAAAAGAAAAGACAATAGGTTGTCCAACCATCAAATGATAGCACTTAAGTATCTATTTGGTAACTTAGTTGGCGTATGGTCTATAGTAGCCACTCTTTTTTTTTTGGTCCGGTCATGGGGCCTGAACTCTGGGCCTGGGTGCTGTCCCTCAGCTCTTCAGCTCAAGGCTAGCGCTCCTACCACTTGAGCCACAGTGCCACTTCCAGCTTTTTTCTTTTTGCTTATGTGGTGCTGAGGAATCGAACCTAGGGCCTCAGCGCATGCAAGGCATGCACTCTACCACTGAGCCACCTTCCCAGCTCTATAGTAGCCACTCTTGAACTCACTGCTTAATACTTGGAGGAGTCACTGTGGACATGTATTTTCAAATAAAAGGTCACAGAGGCCTGGGGAATCCATTCTTTCTTAGTCCAGATATAAAGTAGGAACCTCTGTTTCAGTAAAATTGCCAGTTGAACTGACAATGAAAACCTGCCCACTTTACAAGGTTGTTGTGAGGACTAACAGTTAATGTGTGAAAGCATTGTGTACTACACAGTTCTGCTTATAAGGAACATCATTTCAAAGCATGGTTTAATACTGAAAAACAATGCATACATACAAAGAAAATAACAATCTTTAATCTGTTTTTTTTTTTTTTTTTTTTAGTTTTTGCTGATAGTAGGCTGATACTCAGGGTCTTGAGTTCACTCAGATTTGTTGCTCATTGCTGGTATTCTGCCACTTGAGCCACACCTCCAGTCCAGCTTTTTGATAGCTACAGCTGGAGTCTGTCATACTTTTCTGCCCAGTGTTAGTATGGAACCTCCATCCTCTAGATCTCAGCCTCCTGAGTAGCTAAAATTACAGGCATGTGCCACCAGTGCTCAGCTTCTATACATTGTTTTACTGGTAAATTAAGCTGTTGTATCTATAGTACATGTTAGGATGTTTTGAAAAATGTGTGTTGTGAAACAGTTCAGACTAACTAACATAGCCTTCACCTAAAGTATTTATCTTTTTTATTGTGATGCTTATTTGTTAATAGCAGTTGTTTTCTACCCTGGCAACTAATATGAAATATTACATGTCATTTGATTCTAGGGAGCTCGGGTTGGTAGAATAGATGCTTTCGTTCAGAGTTTGGACAAAAATTTTATGGTTCCAGTAGGTGGCGCTATAATTGCTGGCTTTAATGAGTCCTTCATTCAGGAAATCAGCAAGATGTATCCAGGTAAATAAATAAAGTGTTCCTCAGAAAAAGTAGCTAACAAACAAAAATCTATTCATACATAGGCTTTTATTAAAAACAACAGAAAAAAAAACCTTAACGTTGCCAGGTCCTGGTGGCTCATGCCTGCAATTTTAGCTACTCAGGAGGTTGAGATCTTAGATTGTTGTTTGAAGCGGACATGGGCTGGGAAGTCCTTGAGACTCTTATCTCCAAATAACCACAAAAAAGAGATAGCTGGAAGTGGAGCTGTGGCTTAAGGGTTTACCACTCAAGGACAGCATATGGGCTCTAAGTTTAAGCCCCAGGACCAGCACACACACCCAAAATTTAATGTCTAAAAAGTCTCCCCCACCCATCCTCTTAATGTAACGTGTCCATCTTTATTTCAGGAAGAGCTTCAGCTTCTCCTTCTTTAGATGTCCTTATTACTCTGTTATCACTTGGATCAAATGGCTATAAGAAGCTGTTAAAGGAAAGAAAGGTAAGTTCTCCTTTAGGTGTAAAATAATAATGCTCTTGACTAGCACAGTGCTTCAAATGTCCATCCTTATGTGGTCCTAGGGGATTTACCCAAATCTGGTTTTCATTTAGTCATTTTGTCTTTTCAGATATTCTGAAGAATATCTGAGGACTGTTGATTGACTGGTTGATTGATTTCTTTGAGAATCTCCTGCATCAGAAATTCTTTTTTTGTTTTTTAAACGAGTCTTGGCTTGAACTCAGGACCTGGGTGCTATCTCTGAGCCTCTTTGTGCTTAAAGCTAGTGGTCTACCACTTGGCTACAGTGCCACTTGTGGCTTTTCCTGAGTTGTTTATTAGAGATAACAGTCTCGAGGGCTTTTCTGCCTGGGATGGTGGTTGAACCATTCCTTAGATCTCAGCCTCCTGAGTAGCTAGGATTACAGGCATGAGCCATCAGCACCCAGGCCAGGTATTCTTATTCATTAAAATTATCATATAAAGATAGAGGTTCTTAAAGAGAATAGATAGATTTTCTGTTTAGTTTTTGGAAGGCTAAAGGTTTATTTTGGGCCAGGTGTGGTGTCTTATGTTGATAATCCTATCATTTTGAGAGGAACAGATCAGAAGGATTGTGGACAAAAATTTAGTAAGAACCCCATCTAAAAAAACAGAATCCTAAATGTATGGGAGGGGTAAGTGGAGGATTGAGGTCCAAAGCTGGCCTGCAGTACAAATGCAAGATCTTATCTGAAAAATAATTGAATCAAGAAAGGGTTGTTGCTGTGGCTTAAGTGGCAGAGCACCTGCCTAGCCAAAACGAACAAACAAAACAATAACAACAAAAATTAAGTTGTGAGATGCCCATCACAGGAGGAATAACTAGGTAGAAGTTGATTAGATGATCCTACTAAAATAATTTTTCTTCCTTGTTATTGTTAGAATGCTGAACGCATTGATTATATTGGCTATGAGGAGAAAGGGCATGCTGATATGTGCTTGTAGTCCTGCCTCTTGGGATGCTGGAACATTAGGATTGCTTGAGCCCAGCAGTTTGAGGCCAGCCAGAGCAACACGACAAACTCAGGATGGAAATGTAGTTTAGTGGTAGAGTGTTTGTGTCACATATATGAAGCCCTGGGTTTGATTCCTCAGTACCACATAACACAGAAAAAAGCTGGGAGTGCTTCTGTGGCTCAAGTGGCAGAGTGCTAGCCTTGAGCAAAAAGAGAAGCTCAAGGATTTTGCCCCAGCCCAGAGTTCAAGCCTCAGGACTGGCAAAAAAAACAAAACCAAAAACAAACCCAAAAAAACAAAAATAAACAAACCAATAACAAAAAGCCCTAAACAAACTGGACTTCATCTCTAACACATGAAAACTAGTTTAAATCAGAGTAATTCCAGAATAGTAGATGGAGACAGTGTTGGCAGGGAAAGTTAGATTGGTGTTTTACTCACCACTATCTGGATGAGCCAGGGCTCCTGATGCAGTTTTGATAGGTATATAATGTTATGGTACTTATTAGCAATCCCTAAGATCTACTTTACATATTTTGAAATATTTTCAAATATATTATCGTATAGATCCTCTAACAACTTTATGATGAATACATAATAGAAATTAAAATTTTTTGTGCCTCAGTCCTCTTCCCCCTGTTAAATATTTCTATGGGGAACCAGTTTATTTTTATTGGGAGGATATTCCTTAAGGTTTGTATGATAGAGAAAATGATGTTCAGTAGTCATTAGGGATATGCAAATTAAAACAATGAGATACCACTACATACCTATTGGAAGTGCTAATGTTTAAAAAGAAACAAAACTTTAAAAGTACCCTGACAGTGCTACTAGCTAGGTCTCTTTCAGGTTGAACTCACTGATACTACTGATAGGAATATAAAGTGGTGCAGCCATTCTGGAATACTCTCTGGCAGTTTCTTACAAAGTTAAACATATACTTACCATATAAAGCAGCCATCCTACTTCTAGCTGTTTTGCTTGAGAATGAAAGCTTAAGTCTATAAAAATCTATATATATGAATGTTTATAATGATTCTGCTCATAATTGCCTAAACCTGGAAATAACCCAAAAACCCATCATCTGATGAGTAGATAAACAAACTGGTATATCCATACTCAGCAATAAAGAGGAACAAACCACTGACATATGCAACAAAATAATGACTCTCACATGCATTATGATAAATGAAATGAGCCCAACTGAAAGACTCCATATTACATGGCTTTACCTATATGCTGCAGTCCTGGAAAAGACAGAAAATAGGGATAGGAAAAGAGAGACTAGGTGTGGAGGAGGGGGCCTTTTGGGGGTGGTGAGCTGTTTTATATCTCAACAGTGGAAATGGTTTCATGGCTGTTAAGTTTGTTAAAATTCATAGAAGTGGACATTTGAAATTTTACTATATGTAAATTATATCTCAGTCAACCTGGCAACAGAGGTTTATACAATAAGGTTAAAATTATTTTTAGAAATTTCTAGAAGTAATCATCATAGTCATAGATGTTTTAGCCAAGAGAAGACAGATCTTTGTTGACACTGTATATGTTCAGAGGCATGAGATGATGATTTCTATACACAGAAAACCTGTCGTGTTTACCTGAAAGTTTGGTACTTCAGGTGCCAGTGGATCTTAGCTTTCCTATAGCTAGTTGTCTTCCTTGAATCTGCAGATTTTATTTCCTTATTTCCTTACTTAAGACTGTAAAATATTTATTAAAATAGAAGCTGCTTTCTGGCCTTTGTAAAGCATGTTGGCAGCAGTTTAGAAATTAGATATTTTTGCTGGGCACTGGTAGGTAGCTCACACTTACAATCCTAGCTTTTTAGGAGGCTGACATCTTAAGATCATGGTTTGAGGCCAGCCTGAGCAGGAAAGTTTATAAAAGTCTTTTTTTTTTTTTTTTTTTTTTTTGCCAGTCCCTGAGCTTCTTTGTACTCAAGGCTAGCGCTCTACCAATTGAGCCTCAGCACCACTTCTGGCTTTTTCTGAGTAGTTTATTGAAGATAAACATTGCATGGACTTTTCTGCCCAGCAGGCTTAGAACTGTCCTCAGATCTCAGCCTCTTAAGTAGCTGGGATTACAGATTTGAGCCACCAGTGCCCGTTATGAAAGTCTTATTTCCAATAACCTACCAAAAAGCCAGAAATGGAGTTGTGACTCAAGTGTAAAATGCTTAGCCTTGAGCAAAAAGAAGTTCAGGGACAACACCCAGGCCCTTAGTTCAAGCTCCTGGACCAGCACAAAAAAAATCAGCTATCTTCCAAGTTGGAAATTTTTCTTCCAAGTCAATGGTCTCTTCAGTTTCATAAACCCTCATATCTCTATCAGTCTGTCTTGGCCCTGAAGAATGACAAGCCTACTTAACATAGAATGGCCTAAAGTAAGAACCAGTTTGTTTTTCTTTAAACTGAAAGTCAGTGAAGTTGAGTATAGAAGTTGAGTGTAATGACATGCATATTTAATTTTCTAGGTATTCATTGAACACATATTGTGTGTGTATGTGTGTATGGGGGGGGGGTATGCTTGGTTACTGGGGGTAGGCATGGTTACTTCACATACTGGGGATACCAGCAGTAAAGAAACAACATAATCCATAAATTGTAACATTTGCATGAAGGTGAAAAGTTCTGTGGAAATAAGAAAGAATAGTACTGGGACTTAAACTCAGGACCTGTGCTCTGGCTTGGCTTTCTTGGTCATGGCTGACACATTTGAGTCATGTCTCTAGTCTGTCATTTTGCTAGTTAATTGGAGATGTAAGTTTGCAGAATTCTAATCACTATCATCAGGTCTCAGCCTCCTGAGAAGCTGGGATTATAGGTATGAGCCACTGGCTTCCATCATGAATTTAATGTTCTTTTGAAGACCTAAGATATATACATAGATATAGTTGAGGATTTGTAGAAACAAATGAGTTAAAAATGTTAATTAAAGAGCAGTTATTGTGCTTTTGAGAATACTTCCTGCCTAATTTTCTTACGTTAAGATTTTGGAATTGAGGCTGAGAATGTGGCTTAGTTGATAGTGTGCTTACCTGGCATACATGAAGTTCTGGGCTCGATTCCTTAGTACCAAATACATAGAAAAGGCTGGAAGTGGTGCTGTGGCTCAGGTGGTAGAGTGCTATCTTTGAGCAAAAGATTCTTAAGGACAGTGCCCAGACCCTTAGTTCAAGCCCCAGGACTGGCAAAAAAAAAAAAAAAGATTTTGGAATTGTTGATACTAGTGCTATCTTTTGGTTTTTTTTTTTGCGGGGGGGGGGGGGGGTGGACTAGGAGCCAAGTGTTTCTCTACCAGTGAGCTATGCCTTCAGTGCTGTTATTGGGCTGGTTAAGTTCTTGCTTACTTCTAGACATGCACCCAGACCACCATTTGCCTATTTTAGGTTTCATGTCATAGCTGGGATGAAAGGCATGCAATATTACCTCCAGCATCACCATGGTGGAGTCTCTCAGATTTTTCTGCCCCCGACTGGCTTAGAATTACAGTCTTCTCAGTCTTAGCTCCCCACAAAGTTGGGGTGATAGGCATGCGCCACTATACCCAGCTATGGGTTGAGAAGGCATCTTGCAAACTTTTCTGCCTAGGCTGGCCTTGAACTGCAGTCTTCCTGAGCTCAGCCAAGTAGCTAGGATTCCAGGCATAAGCCAGTGTGCTTCTCTATCTTCATTATTTTGTTTTTTGGTATTCAGTGTTTGCCTTTAAACTTTTCAGTTGCTTGTAGGTGATTCCAAATGTACATAAATGTATATATTTATTTTGCTTGAATGAAAACCCATTCTCTTTGAGAGTCTCCTGCAGGAATATGTAGCTTAACCAGTGAATGGACCAGCAGGCAACACAGCTGAGCTTTTCATAGGTACTTTATTATCATTGAGGAAACACATGAGAGAAATTTTATATTCACTGGTGTTCATGAGTTAGATGGATCCATCACCATGTCAAAAGGTACCTCTGTAACATCCAGAACTTTGTTCTTTTCCTTTTATTTGGCTGGTTGTAGAAGGGGAGGGGTAAATAGGAGCAAGATAATTACATCATGGCTGCAGTAGATTAGTACATGTCAATTGAAGTCCTGTGTGTGTTGTCTACATTTGTGCTAGGGATTGAACCCAAGTCCCTGTGAAAGTGCACATATGTTTTACTACTTAGCTACATCCCCAGCCCTGGGTGTTTTGTTTGTTTATTTTCATCCCGAAAATTCTTGGAGGGAACATCAAAGTCAGTGGGTGGGGACTGACATTTTTCTGAGTGTCTGCTGTATGCCAGGATCTGTGCCAGGTTCGTGATATTCATTCCTTCATGTAGTACTCAGCAAGATCATTTTGCATCTGGTACCAGAATTGCTTTAACCCAGGTCTGTGTGAGGCTGAAGCCTGTGTGCTTGTGTCTTACTGCCATCAGGATGATCCAGGAGCCATAGAAAATTTTTGCTCTTGTGACCTACCCTCCCTAGTAGAGATATTTAAAACCCCGGAGGCTCTCAAAGTGCTAATTGGTTTTACTCAAAATTGTACATAGAGAAGTTACTTAGATCTGAGACCATCTATGGGAATAAATTTCAAAAATATTAAAGTGATACTTTGAGAATTCCATCATTGTAAGTAAATTCATCTTTGTTTCTAACAACTTCATTCAATAGATCTTCTGTTGAAAGATGTGGATGTCCTCCATAAACCATAATTGCATATCTGTAGCATAAATATTGTTTTTTTATTGGATTTGTTGCAGAAGCCTTTTTTGTTTAGATGGACTTGCTTTTGAACTGTGAAAATTTAATAGTGATAGTTTATTGGTTCAGCTCTGGAGAAGCTGAGGCAAAGCTATTTTGCTCCAGCCAGAGCTATTTATATACCATCACCGAGAGCTGCTTTTTATATTTGGTGCTATGTATACTAAAAAAAGAGTGTTAAAGGAAAAAAACTTAGATTCCTTTTGATTCTGTGCCCTTATTCACCACAATGATATTTTTAGAGGTTATTTCATCTAGCTCTATCTTTTCAGAAAAGGCTTTATCTGTTTCTCAGTAGAGGCAGACAAGGACTCAGCTTGAAGCCATTCCTTCTGAAGCCTTCCTTTTGGAAGGGTGAAAGGATCAGAGAGAGTAGAACTTTGTGTGTGAATTGAGCCTCTTTGCCCTTAGCCCCTTCCTGATCAGCCCATCTGCTTCATAGGGAGGAGAAATGACCAGGGGTTTAACGGAAGAGTCCTTTAAGAAAGGAGGTTAAAATACAAGAGGTTGTTCCTTTGCGTTTCCCTATGCAAAAAGAACAGTCGTAGAAGTTGAGCCTCACTTCTGTTTTGTAGCTGGAGAAGACCATTATTCTGCTCAGCTTTCTTTTTAGAAGAGTGCTTTCCTGAACAAGGCGGCAGGTAATCATTTATTGTTGCAAATATCTGCTGAATTGGACAAGTGCACAAGAGGAATCACAGCCGAATGGCTGCTCCAGCAGCTAGAATTTGTGAACCGAAGCTTAGAGGACAAATGAAGTTCTTAAAGTACACCAGACTTGTAACTTCAGTGTCCTATAACACAGCTAAGTTTGGAGACACTAGAAGATTTATAGCTCTAAAACTAGAGTCATTGAATCCCCTGAAAATGTTGACTATCAGGCCGGGAGACGAGGCCTCAACAGCTTGAGTGTAGTGCTTTTACCTCTAGTCAAGGCCTGCTGAATGTACATGGATCCTTGGTACTGGCCATAGTCAGGGACATTTGGTTCTGTTTTCCTCAAATGTGGGCTTCTGTGTATGCATATGTACCTTCAGTGTCATTCATCCATCCATTCAGGCTATCATTGAAACAGCTTGCTTTTTATGGTTGCCTTTGCTTTATTACCCACCTCACAGGACATATTATAATAATATATGGAGTATTATTTTCATCTTAACCTGTAATAAGAAACTGATGACTTTTTAAAAAAAGATGTAATTTCTGATGTCTTTATAAATGTTAACATGTCAAAATAGATCTCCAGAAACTCCCTGACTTACATACTTCAACTTACAATTTTTCTGCATACTCAGTAGAAACTCTACCTTTTTTCATTTGTTAATTTTTTTTAGGCAGTACTGGGACTTGAACTCAGGACCACATGTTAAGACCCTTTTCTTTTAAAATTATGCACATTTTCAGATTCTGGAGAGAGAGTCTAGATGTTGAGTTTCTTGACTGCTAACAGCTTACAAAAGGCCATATGAAAGATAATGCTTGATATAATTCAACTTCTTTTCCATTAACATCTTGAACTATGGTGTAAAGTTTTGTATTTTCTTAAAAATATAGCTGACATTAGCATTCGGGTATATAGTTCAGTTTATCTCTAGTGAAATTTTTAAAAATTAAGTTAAATACAGCACAAAGGACATAGAAAATCAATAATATTTCATTTAAGTAAGATCTTTCTATATACATTTGCTTGGGTTGCTTATAAATTTCTTTCTTCACAGAAGTATTTTATAATAAATGTCAGTTATAGATTTTAACTGTAGCAAAAAATAGTGCAAGTTCTGTAATACCTTTAATATATCAGGTAAAAAAGTTGCTTAGCTAAGTATTAGTATATAATGCAGTACAATCTCCTAAAAGATATTTCTAAAGTGTAGTGATATTAATAGGAGGATATTTAGAACATTAATAAATGGAATATTATAGAATTTAGTGTATTGTACTTTGAGATACTTAAAGCTTCATTGCTTATTGGTTTACATAACATAACCCTTTACACAGAGTAAGAGATACTATATATATTTACTATTAAATATGAGCTTGACTCAAACATTTTTCTTGTACCTAATTATACCCAACTAGAGGTATGTGAGATTTAGTTATCTTACTATTCTCTTCATAAAGACTTCTGTTCTAATACGAGCTGCAGTTACTGAATTCCAGTTGGTTGCGGTAGTTTATGATTGTAACTCTGTTATTCACAAGGCTGAGGCAGGAGGATCTGTAGTTCAAGGGCAGCCTGGGCTATGTAGAGACTCTGTCTCAAAAAACAAGCAAAACAACATCCGGAATTCTGGTGGCATTAGCAAGTGATTCAGAGAGCTAGTTAAAACTAGCTTATTAAAGTATTAGAAACTGAACATTGGACAGATTCAGTTTTCTAATAGCTATGCGTGCATCACTAACTTTAAAAGCACCCTTTAGGGTTGTTGCTAAGGAAACATTTCCTCTTTTTTTTCAGAATAGCTAACTCAAGTACAAATTAAGTACTCACGGGTTTCTGGCCACATTTCTGTTTAATGTTTCAGCCAAACTGGAAGAAAATTATTTTAAATTGGTCTTCATCACTGAAATGCATAAAACTTCAACAATATATGCTTAAGAGATGCTTAAGGGTAAATGAAGGGTAGGGATGGTTTTGTTATTAGATATGAACACTAAGTGTCTATAAAAGACATTGATTGCCTGCTTCCAGGTTATCAGACTTATTTCTGCTAATGAGAGCTTGATGAATTTGAATATAAGGGAGCATTAGATAGACAGATGCCACTTAGGACATTAAGGCTAGTATAGATGAAGAAAAACAACATTTATTATCTAAATGAGATATATGGCTACTTTTAAAAGAAAGTAATAAGCATTTAAGGTAGCAAACTAGATACTTTATTATAAGAATTTAAGCCGGGCGCTGGTGGCTCATGCCTGTAATCCTAGCTACTCAGGAGGCTGAGATCTGAGGATCGCGGTTCAAAGCCAGCCCGGGCAGGAGAGACCGTGAGACTCCTATCTCCAATAAACCACCAGAAAACCGGAAGTGGCGCTGTAGCTCAAGTGGTAGAGTGCTTGCCTTGAGCTGAAGAGCTGAGGGACAGCACCCAGGCCCAGAGTTCAAGCCCCACGGCTGACCAAAAAAAAAAAAAAAAAAGAATTTATCCTGCAACTGTAAATTCTATCCTTTATTAATGATTTGCTCTAATTGCTATGAAAAATTGTTGTTTTAAAAAATTCCATTTGTTTATTTAATGTTCCATTTTCTGAAGGAGTATTGGAATATTGGTCTCAGCCAGTAAATCTTTTGTATTAAGAAATGATGCTTCTAAATGATGCTTTTTTTCCATTTCTGAAAATGATGACAGTTGCCTCTTTAAATATTTCTCTGTTTATTTAAGTTTTAGGATTTTTGTAAAATCGATCCTTAGAATGCCACAATTATGCAATGTCGTTGATGATCATTAAATAAATTGGTTCTTTTTGCATTCAAAAAGTGAAGATACACAGGCTTACTGAAGCTGTCCGTAACTATGACTCTGTCAGGGGATAAGATTTCTTCTAGTCGCTGGGAGAAGCATAGAGAAAATGGTTGGAAGTGAGGCTGGGGTAGTAGGCAGATGAGGGAATGACACAAGTCATGGAGCTGGGCTTGTTGGTTGAGTCACATGTGGGGGCCTTTAGAGCTAAAGAGCATTTTTTGAAGTAACAAGAGAAAGTCTTGACAGAATGGGCAGGATCTAGCTTTTGCTTTTGAAAAACTACACTGGCATCTGTGTAAGAGTAGCCTGTACAGAGATAGAGGAATAAGCAGATAAATCATTTGCTGTGCCATTACTATGTCCACAGGTAAGATTGATGGCTGCTTGGGTTAGAGTGAGAACTCTTGACTGGTATCGTGGTACATACCTCTAATCCCATCTACTTGGGAATGGGGACTAGAGGATCAAAAATTCTCAGCATGCTCAATATAATAAGACTTCGTCTAAAAAATAAAGAAAAATTCCAAAGGATTTACAGTGTTTATTTGGTTATGACATTTTGTTCTTGCAGGAAATGTTTTCCTATTTGTCCAACCAGCTGAAGAAGTTGTCAGAAGCCCACAGTGAAAGACTGCTGCAGACACCCCATAACCCCATATCATTAGGTACCTTCTTTGCTTAATGAAAGAAAAACAATACTTATCATCCTGCTTTAGGGACAAGAGGACCAACTTCTGTTGGTATTTATAGAAAAAAAGAGAACTGGGGCTGGGAAGGTGGCTCAGTGGTAGAGCGCATGCCTTGCATGCCAGAGGCCCTGGGTTCGATTCCTCAGCACCACATAAGCAAAAAGAAAAAAGCCAGAAGTGGTGCTGTGGCTCAAGTGGTAGAGCGCTAGCCTTGAGCTGAAGAGCTGAGGGACAGCGCCCAGGCCCAGAGTTCAGGCCCCATGACTGGACCCCCCCAAAAAAAAAAAAGAAAGAAAGAAAGAAAAGAAAAAAGAGAACTCTTTCATAATACGTTTTTTTGTGTGTGTGCCCATTTTGGGGCTTAAACTGTTCCTGAACTTTTTTTGGTCCAAGCTGGTGCTCTACCACTTGAGCCCAGCTCCACTTTTGGCTTTTTTGCCCAACGTAGCTTTGAACCATGTTCTCACATCTCAGCCTCCCAAGTAGCTAGGATTATAGGCATGAGCCACTGGCACCTGGCTATTTATATATTTATTTATAAATTCATCCCAGTGTTGATTTGTAAATTGAGAAAGCTAACCTTTAGAAATATTTTAGTGTTTTTTCTAAGGAAAAATGTATCCATGGAGAGACTCAGAGTCAATATTAAATGGAATGAATATGCAAAAAATAAGTCATGTTTCTAGCTCAAATGCCTAGGTTACCAGCAAGAACTCTTTAAGTAATTATCTTGGAGCTGAGGGTAGTACTACTATTATTATTTGCTTTAGCTGCACATGTTAAGAGAACTCCGTGTTTATTATAATATGACTTTTTTTGTATAAGGACTGTATATTTTGACATATAATTCAAGAGCTATTAAAATGATAATATGAACATTAACTTTTTACACCCTTAAACAGCTTAAAAATCAATATCATTACCTCTTAATTTAGATATATGAAGTATATGTTTTCTATTTTCTATATATCTGAGAAAAGTGAATCACCATGGCTGAAATGGGCTTCTTATATAATAAAAGCCATTCCACTATTTACTAGTGTACAGTGTGATAGTAGTAAGATTATTAATTCTGCCATGTCTTAGCCTCTAACCCCCTTTTTGCTATCTCTAAAATAGCAGTAATAATCCATCATATACAGAATTATTAGAAGGTAGGTGAAGATTATGTTTATAAAATGGAAAGTCAGTAGCAGGGGATGTTAGTCCTCAGTAAAGGATAGCCAAAATATTGGTGGTATACAGGTTGCAGTTTACCACTCAGTCTCCCAATGGTAATTTCCATTTCCAGATGCAGATGTTGATCTGATTCAGTCATATATACATACATATGTACATAGATATATATAGATATATGTATACACATAAAAATATACATATCCCATGTACTTAAAATGTGGTTTGGTTGAATTTGAGTAAATAACCATATTGGTCACGTCATTGCTCAGTTTAACTGGAGAGATTACATTTCTAGGTGATATGAAAATTCTGTTCATTCTGAACATATTAATGTATACAAGTATGTGTTTTGCCTGATATGAAAACAAATCATGGCTATAATTATTAAGTACATTAATCTGATACTGGGCTTCTTAACAGTGGATAAAGAGTAAGCTCTGTTGTTAACATGCTTTGAGTAATGTTTGTGCTGGTGAACCAAAGCTTATTGGGGCACTTTTTTCCTTTCTAGCTGTGACACTAAAGACACTAGATGAGCACCATGACAAGGCTGTCACTCAGCTTGGCTCAATGCTTTTTACCAGGCAGGTTTCTGGAGCCAGGTAAGGATGTTTAAAAGAGACTTTGGTTTATTTGCCTTTCAGAGTTAACTAATGAAGCACTTTCTTCAACAAGGGTCCCTAAGTACATACTGATGTCTACCAGGAATTCATTGTGGGATAAAGGATGTCAAGACAGAGGACTTATAAGACTATTATCTACCCACTTATGGGTGTTTTATGACAGTCACAGAAAGATAAGAATATTATTCGGGGGCTGGGAAGGTGGCTCAGTGGTAGAGTGCTTGCCTTGCATGCATGAGGCCCTGGGTTTGATTCCTCAACACCACATAAGCAAAAAGAAAAAACCTGGAAGTGGCGCTGTGACTCAAGTGGTAGAGTGCTAGCCTTGAGCTGAAGAGCTGAGGGATAGCACCCAGGCCCAGAGTTCAGGCCCCACGATGGGACCCAAAAAAAAAAAAAAAAAAAAAAAGAATATTATTCGTTGTAGGAGACAGATTATCTTGATACAGATTTTCATTTAATTTTAATTTCATTTCCTTTATTAAATGATTTTCAGTGGTGTCTCATGATATCAGAACCAAATCATCTTCAATCTGAATTTAAGTAAAAAGGTTAAGAAAATGCTGCTTTCTAAAGGGTTATGTAATTCTTGACCAAGTACTGCCTTAGAAGTACTTACTGTGTTTCCTTTTATAAATGCATGGCATCCAATGAATCTTATATATTTGATGCGATAAGAGAAAAATAACAAAGTTTTTTATCCAAAATTTTACATACTTTTGTTGAAGAATTTCATTCTATTAGAGGGTAGAAATTTTACGTCAAAGGATTGTTTTGTCTTTAATTAGTAGTATTAGATTTTAAACTCAGTCCCCTTTCCCTGTCCCTCACTCTTGAATTATGCAGGCAGTCTGCTGAGCCATGCCCTCAGTCCTTTTTTGCTGTATGTTCTTTTTTTGGCTGGAGTCTCATGCTTTTTGCCCAGGGCCAGCTGTGGACTGTGATCATCCTATCTATTGCTTCCCTTGTAGCTGGGATTACAGGCCTGTGCTGTCATGCCTAGTATTCCTATCTTCCCTTTTAAAACGTTTCAAACTTCTACTGCATAGCACTGACCACATGGGTCAAAGTGACTTGACTTACATCTGTGACACCAGATTCCCGATTTAGCACAGTCTTGTTACTTCTTTGAAAAACCAATAAAAGTGTTTGAGATTCTAGAGTTTCTTGTTCTTTCCTAGAAGATAATCAGTAAATGGTTGTCATTATACAGGACTTGTTAATGTAAACTAACAGTGTACTATATAATTTCATGGTTTGTTTGCATAGGCCATGATTTATGCCTGTTTTTCAACTTCTTTTTTTTAATTTTTATTTATTTATTTTTATTGTGAAAATACCATACAGAGGGGTTACAATTACATGGGCAAGATAATGAGTACATTTCTTATCAAGCATTGTAGCCTCCTCCTTTGTTTCCCCTTCCCATCCCTTTCCATCCTCCCTCCATCCCCCCAACTTCTTTTATTTTTGGGTGTGTGGTACTAGGGTTTGAACTCAGGGCTTTATACTTGCTAGGCAGATACTCTAGCACTTGAGTCATGCTCCATGCTTTTTTTCCCTCCCTCCCTCCCTCCTTCCCTTCCTTCCTTCTTTCCCTGTTGTTGCTCTTGTTTTCTATTCTTTCTTTCTTTTATTTATTGACTTTTGCCGTAGTTATTTTTCAGGTAGGATCTTATATTTTTGCCCGGGGCTGACCTGACTGAGATCCTCCTACCTATGCCTCCTATCTAGCTGGGATTACAGTGTGAACCACCATAAGGAGCTTATTTTTTGAGTTTAGGTCTTGCTAACTTTTTGTCTGGATTGCCTCCCACTTCACACTTCTTATCCATGTCTCCTAAGTTGCTTGGCTTTTAAGCTTGATCCACTGCCCTGACTGGACTTCAGCAAATATATGGCTTAGAAACACAGATACCTTTTGTTTCTGGGTAGCATTCTGCTCACAGCAGCAGACACTTATATTGATCAATCTTTTCTCCCTTTCAGGGCTGTGCCGCTCGGGTCTGTGCAAACTGTGAGTGGCTACACTTTCCATGGCTTTATGTCCCACGCAGATAGTTACCCCTGTGCTTACCTCAATGCTGCAGCAGCCATCGGGATGAAGACACAGGATGTGGACCTGTTCATAAAGAGACTTGACAAATGTTTAAAGGCAGTAAGAAAAGAGCAACTTCAGGAGAACGATGTATCTGGAATTGACAACTGTGACAAAACAAAAGATGTGGAGACTGCAGAGGTGGCTTTCAAGCTAGATAATGTACTTCTTGATATGTAACAGGGTACTTCTTTCTGACATGATGGATCTGGTTTTCTAGTTTTTTTCTTTTTTTCTTTGCTAATTTGAAAGAAATGATGAGGCTGCAGAACAGGCAGGCCATCAACAGACCAGACTAGAGATGTTTGAATTGAGAACTTACAGAGAATATTCAGCCAATTTATAGACCTTTGATAATTGCTCTGGTTTTTATTCTTAGATCACCTCAATCCTTATAACCCTTAAGAGGTTGTAATATACAGCAAGCATTTTTATAATTGCTAGGGTATTTGCCAATTAGACATTATATTATAGGTCATTCTGACTAAGAAAGATTGTAAAGTTCCCTGTCATTCTCTCTGAAATGTTGAGGGCTTCTTCCTAACCTCCTAAAGCCACTCATGTTTCTCATCACACAGACTTGAGATCTCTAATGCTGCTTATTACTGGATCTTTGTTCTGATATCTCCATGTGCCTAAAGAAGCAGAGAGATGCTGCAAACTTCAGTTGAGACCAAAAAGCGACAGCTCTCCACAGGGGAAGATTTGCTTATTTCAGGCAACATCTAGGGCTATGTTTGGTTATCACAATGGTGGGATGCCCTTGACAGTGGGTGGGTGGAGGCCAGTAACACTGCCCAGCATCCTCCATTGGGCAAGGCAAGTTTCCATAATAGAAGCCCACAGCACCAGTGCTGAGGTTAAAACGGCTGTGAAGTAAACTGAAGTAGTTGCTGCTGAGTAACTATATGACTGTAGTTACTTGGCATCAGAGTTATGTGCTGCATGACAAGGTTCAGCCAATAGTAGATTCACTTCTCCAAGGGACATGTTGGTCATCTCATTGGTATAAGCACATGACATGGTGTTCTCAAAACTACAGATGAACTAATTGTGCATCCTAGAACATATCTATAATTAAACAACTGTGACTATTCTCCAAAGGTGATAATTACATTAAACATTATGAACTATGCTGTCTGGAGAAGCTTTGGTGATAACCAGGATCACCATTCTAAACCTGTCATTATACCTTGTTTTCTATGGCACTGGTACATTGTCCTATTTGAGTAAGTGAAACTTTATGGAGGAACTGATTTTGTTTTATGCAACCTTTCTGTATTGACTCTTCTGCTCAGGATTGGTTCAATTGGGTATATGGGCATTTTGGGACCTATTTTTGCTGAGGAAGTGAATGTGGTATAGGATGATAAGCAAGTGTATTCGTCACTCTCTGCCTGAATGCTCATTTTTGAATCTGAAATTCACAGACTTACTGCTTTAGCAATAATTTTTGTTGATTTTTTTTTTTTTGTGCCAGTCCGGGGGTTTAAACTCGGCATGGGTACTCTCTGAGCTTTTGTGCTCAAGGCTCACACTTGAGCCACTTGAGCCACAGCATCACTTGAGATAAGAGTCTCATGGACTTTCCTGCCTGAGCTGGCTTCAAACTGTGATCCTCAGATCTTGGCCTCATGAGTAGTGAAGATTACAGGCATAAGCTACCAGTGCCTGGAAGGTTTTGTTAATTTTAAGAAATAAACTGAGATCCAATAGCCTGATGAGTTAATGAAACTTCTGAATACACCACTATGCCAAAGCTGGTGCCAAACCAGCTCTCTGAGTGGGGCATTGCTTAGCCTGAGGGGTTATCAGGGGCAAATATTGTGTGACAAATGATTTTGAGGAGCATCTTTAACCTACTTAATGTGTATCAAATACTCCAAGGAAACTCCTTCAGTAAAGACTAACCCACATTGAAAATACTCAAAGAAGAGACCTTGTTTTGGAAGTACTTAGATTTGAACTGAAGTTCATTGTACTTGCAAGGCAGGCACTATATCACTGAGATATACTGCCAGCTTGCGTTCTCTCTCTCTCTCTCTCCCCCCCTCCCCCTCCCCTCTCTCTGTCTCTCTCTGTCTTTCTCTGTCTCTCCCTCCCTCCCTTTTCTCCCTCCCTCCCTTTTCTCCCTCCCTCCCTCCACTGCATAGGGCCTACTTCTTGCCTCGGTGTGTAATTGAGCCCAGCCTGCCTATTTTATGCATCAGGTATGCACCACCACACCTAGCTTCTTCCATTGAGATCTCAGCTTCTCTGTGGTTGAGATGACAGGCATAAGCCCCTAGCATCTGGCTAGAGGAAGTACTTGCTAACATTTCCTTGAACATATTTTAAAAAACATCATAGTAGCAATTGCTGTGTTGACTTGTGGATTGCATTTTCCTTATTGACTTAGCAGTGTAAACTCTGTATGGGAAAGGGTCTTCTGGTATGTTGATAACATTGTGTATGGCCTGAGACTGTAAACATGAATGCAGATAGGCTCCACTCATTTTAATGAATAAGTTAGAATGCCTCAGACACTGGCTTGATGACCATTCAAATCAAGACTAGATTGAGATAAGACATTTACAAACATGAAAAGGTGATTTTTTTTAATGCATTATATTTCTGCGGTTCAGATATTTGAACACTTCTTTTTTCTTTATGTGCTGGTACTAAGGCTTGAGCCTAGAGCTTGGGCACTGTCCCTTAGCTTTTCTAGTCAAGGCTGGTTGGTCTACCACTTGCACTACAACTCCACTTCTTTTTTGTTTTTTTACTAGTTATTTGGAGATCAGAGCCTCTTGTTTATTTCTGCCCAGGCTGGTATCAAAGCTTGATCTTCCTCCTGGTAGGAGGATTACGGGCGTGAGCCACCAGTGCCTGGCTAAACATTTCTTAGGTAGCTATAGTAACTTGTTTTAGAGGTCTAAATTTTGGATGTCAAAGATGTGTGTGCTATTTTCTGTGTGAATCTGACACTGAAATGTAAACTCAGGAAAGCTGAAGGGGTGCATGGACCCCTAAAGTCCAGCAAAGGAGGGTGATAGTGTGATGTCAGTGCTGACAGTGCAGCTCAGTTTATGTCAAGCCAAACTGCTTTACAGAATGAGAGATCTATACTGTGTGATCATTATTTCACTGCAGAAAGGCCAGAGTCGAGTGACTAGCAAATGTTTCCTCATCTGCAGCATATCAGCAATTCTTAGGCTTCAGCTGCTGAATAGATAATAATTCTAATTGAAGATAAATTACATGAACCCACTGTAAATGATAGATATGTTATAACATCTTACTCCTGATGCATAAAATCAACTGCACTTATTATGATTAACTCTTCCTCTTTCTAGCAGTTTTGACATTCCTGCTCTCTTTCTGCTGCTTCCATTGTGACCTTAAGGTCACAGAATTCAGATTTTGAAGGGACATTGTAGTTTTGCACAGTCAGCTCTTTCTGTCCATATACTGTCATTTCCACATAAGAGTATTTAAAAGTATGCACATAAAATTCCTTGCTAAGACTTGCTAATGCTGATTGGTTAGCCTCAATGCGGCTGTAATGTAGAATTTTGTAGTTAGAGTTTGAGAGTTCACTGGGCCAAAGTAGTCTGCCTAGAACAGAAAATTGAATAATACAAATATTCTTTTGATTGCTATGTAATGTGTTACTACTATTCATATGGCAAAGAGAAGTATTTTAAATCAAACTCTCAATTTGGTTCTTAAGTCTTCTGCTGATGAATTCTCACTATATCATGAAATGATATGTGATACCAGCCTTTGAAACCCAGTGTTCAACTATAAATCTTTCCACTTAGCTTTTTGTAGTGGTTGAATTAAGTTGTAGAATATGAATTATTGAATACAGTTCAGTTCAGCCAATAGGCACTTGATGTACAGAATGGTAAGTTCAAATATAACTTAATTTTTTTCCTAATAGTTTGACCCAGCACGTAATTCTGCTGGAGTTCTGGGTCTTTAACCACCCCACAATAAGAACTGTCACTGAAGCCTGACCTACAGAATGAGCTTTTAATTTTAGACTCTGCCTATGGTTTCCATAGGTTTTAGTAAAATTTATGTGTTTATACAGCTGCAATTTTTTCCTGCTGGTTATTATTTCAATGTGAATTAGTACCCCATCTTGAGAGTTATTTTTTTCCTCTAATACTAGCATTTGAACTCAGCCTTGAGTTGAGAGTTAATTACTATAGCCTTTCATACAGCTATATAACCAACAACAGAAACAAAACAACAGAAACAAAAAACAGATGAATCTCATTCATATTCTACTAAGACAAAATTTTGAAGTACACACACACACACACACACACACACACACACACACACACACACACACACACATTTGGTTCATGTAAAAGTTATGTTTCCATAGCTCAGTGGTAGACCATTTGCCTAGCAAGTGTGAGGCTCTGAGTTTGTTTTTCCTACTGTCTTAAGATGTGCTGATTTCTAGAATTTGATATGCAAGAATTTGGGTCATTTCAGAAATTTCATAATCTGTATAATTTGGTAAGAACCAGTTGAATATGCTGTTAAAAGTAGAAAAGTGCATGCCTTGTCTGTCACACTGTTGGTTCTAATCTACATAGTCTTTAACTTACTGCATTCTTTGTGCCTTACTTCTTACTTTCATTTGGTCCATCAGGTGTGTACAACAGATGATGGGTTTAAGGCTACTGAGGATGTATCTGTAATTTTCCCCCTTCAGGGAGAGGCCTTCAGCAAACTCTGCAAGCGTTTATGCTGTTCTGTTTTTATCAAGCAGTATCAACATGGAAGGCTGGGTTTAACTGTGGCTGGGAATTTTCACCATGAGAATATGATGTAATGTCAGCCTGCTCACCTGTAACTTACCAAACAAAGGAAAAAATGTTTTCCAGAAATATTTTTGGTATAGACTTTGAAAATAAATTTATAATTTATTACATGCAATAAAATTTTAATAAATCACTGGCAGTGCATTATCTTATTGTACTTAATCATTACTACAGATAAAGTCAAAGTACAAATAACAGACACTAAATTACTTACCCATTTTTCTGGTTCAGTCATCAGTAAATTTGCCTAGAAGCTAACAAGAAAAGTCAAATCTAAAATGAGAACCATGAGTCATGGTTAGGACTAAATTATTACCAAAAAAAGGAAAGCAATGACATTTCAAGAGCCATTGTTGGATGCTCAACAGTATTTAATCTTCTCTAAAACAGTTTGCTTTTGTTTGAGAATAAAATAGTTTAATTTCTTCAGATTCCATTTTTATGCTGTTTGAATAGCTCAGGCAGTCGTCGGTCTTTGACTAGAGGTAGATTATTACCCTGGGACTTGTTCTCCATGTGAGTTCACACATTTACCCTCTGTGGATCTCATTCTCATCCTCCTTATTCCATTAAGGTTGTGGAACTGGTACAGCCTTCTAGGATTGGAGATTAAATGAGAGAATAAGACAGGTGTGTTTAATTAAGCCTGAATAAAACAGCATTAACTATGACTAGTGCCATGATACTCTCTCTACTAATCTAGGCTGTGCTAGATTGAAATTGAAATGAATTCCAGGAGAGTCATTAATGTATTTTGTCTATTCTCCGGTGGAAATTTATATAGTTGATTTTATATTCCCCCCTCCCCAGGGTTTTCCTAGTTGGCTTTTTATTCATTCCCCCTGGGTTTGCATTGACATTTGAGAACTGCAGAAATATTCAAAGTGCATTAACTGTTTTATGCACCTGAAATTGCAGATCATAACCTAAGAGATACTGAGATTAAAAGTTCATGTCACAGTGACCTCCTCATGGATTCTCCTGTCTGACCAAAGAGTTTGGTACAGTCAGCAGAATTACAAGCACAGCAGTTCAGTATATTTATCCTCATTCTCACATAGGTTAGTTGACTCTGGCTCCTTAATATGTATCTTTAGCTGATGTTTTTCCTGAATGCTGTCTATACTCATACCCACCTCACTGCCTAACCATCCCTTGGATGTCCAATAGACCTGCCAAAGATAATTCCTTGATCTTTGCCCCAAGATTGTGCTCAACCCCAACCTACTTATCATCTCCCTGTCCCTACTCTGTCATTTCTACAAGTCTGGGAATTATTCTCAACTCCTTTACCTCCTCCATCTAATAAAGACGTCATTTTGCATCTACCCTGAACTCTTACTCTGAATCAAGCCATTGTCTACCTTCCCTGTGACTAACCACGTTTGAACTGCCTGTGTTTCTTGTATTATA